ATGGCTCTCTTTCTCTCTTTTCTGTTCAAATAATTATGATAATTGGTTATAAGATGTTATTGAATCGAATGTAACTTTTTTTGGTTTGAAGCTTTTTTTGGTTGTATTTACGCCTTGAATCAGATTTAAATTCAAAGTTCTCGCTATTTTGAGAAGCGAATCCAAGAAATAGCTAACTAGTTGGCCTCTTTTGATCGTGATGTCATTTGTAAACCGGAGAAGATTGTATTTGACCGATAGATAAAAATAAGAATATAAATAATGAACATGTGTAATTTAAAATATTTATATGATTGTAATGAATATGTATCAATGATTTTAAAATCACACTATAAATTATTGATGATGATTGTCGATCATTGTATTGTTGTTCTTTTTTCCGTGACAATGTTTGTGATATTGTTTCTTGGTTAGTCTCTGTTGCTCTTTGTTTCCATTTTGTGTGATTTATATGTTGGTTGTGTAAATTCTATTTAGAACACTCTGAAACAATTTTAATTGCAGAGCATTCTACTGATTATTTTATTTTGTGGTATTTTCTAAGCTATCTCCTTTACTCTAATGTTTTTGATTCTTTTGAGTTACTCTAAAACGTTTGTGACAACTCCAGAATATTTGACATCGAAGAAAGTGAGTAAACTCTTGCAAGTTTAAGAGAAGGAGCAACACGAGATTATGGTTCAAAACTCTATGATAAGCCTCATGTTATTAGAGAAGAAGAAGAAGTTGATGTGATTAGAGAAGAGATTCAAGTTACCTCAAAGATACAAAAAAATGTTAGTCATTTTATGATAAGATGGATTTAATTATATATACATAGAGAATGAATGGTTTAAAGTGAATTATACTGCTGATTGGGGGGAAATTCAAAGCCTCATTCTATACGTTAGAACGTGCATGCGGTTTAAAAGAACATTTTACTTAAATGGGCGTAAATTCAAAACTTCAGAGATCCCTGCTAAACTATTATACATGTGAATAATATGTTTATATGAATGAATAATATGAAAATATTATACATATAAAAATTATTGTAGCACTACTCAGAACGTAGTGATGGTAAACAACTTATAATTTCAGAAGACGATTTTGAAAAAAAATTATTCAATGCAATTTGTTGGATTATAGATTACTTTCCATGCGATTTACAAGAGCATCATTACTATTCCACACTGATTTTGATTGTGTCCAAACTCTTATCTGAGTTTTCTGTTTATAAGTTCGATAGATAAACTCAACCATACTCATGCCATGTGATGATATGGCAAAGAGAATGATTGAATTTGAGATGGTTTTATATGTACTTGAAGATGATTTTAGTAAACATTGCAATCTCACTCAAACTTAAATACAAATGGATAGATCTTCTTAAAGGGCAAGTAGCTTGATTGGTCGTGGCCACTTTGTTGATGGATCTTTGTGTACCTCACCGGTGTGTGCATTGTGTGGCTAGATGTTGGTGATCAATTATACATTAGTAAATTGCTCGAATGAACAAAAATTGTGTGTCTATGAACCCTATCATATCGTTGCGAAGAGAGAAAACGTCATCTTACCGCAATCGTAGAAGGGATGTATTAGCTCTATAAAGCAAACTAATAAGTATACACTTAGAGTTCTTTTGAATTTATGTGGGTTTAAAAGCAAATTTCACTTTAAATCCACATATTTAGTCAAATCGATCATTTAAAATCGTTCCATATTGTATGTATATTTTTTCTGAACCATACAAAGTAATAATTTTAGGTAGATCAATTTTTAAGTTATATGAAACTATTACAAGTATATTTTCTTATGTTTAAGGAGAATAATAACAAATTAGAGTGTCATACGCGGAGATAATATCAAAATGACTATTGTATTAACTTCATTCCTAAAAATACAAACAAGTATTTTTGAAAAATGAATGGATAAAAAAAATTATATTTTAATTTGTTAATAACATATTAATGAAATACCTAGTCTGCGCATGCGCGGGTAACACCTAGTTTATCAATGATTTGCATATGATTTATGATGCCATAAATTAAATAGTTAAAATATGTATCTCTTTCGTTTAAACATAATAATAGACAAGTGTCATTACTTAAGAGACAGTGTCTCGATATGAAATGAGATATCTAATTTTTTTTCAGAGTATATATTAATATAAAAAAATAGTAATTGGAATTTAGTGTTTTTACAATATGCTAAGTTGTATTTAGTAATCTTGATTATAAGTTTTAATCCTCAGATACAAAAAATCATGAATACAAAAAGGATTACAATAAGTTTCAAAAACAAAACAAAAGGATTACAACATAATGACCACACCCACGCATTTACCGTATGAAGCCAAAAATCCCAAAACAAACCACATTATAACCACAAATCTAAAATACCCATATATAAACAAAATAAAATATCTAAGTTTATAATGATTTCTTTTGTTTTTGTTAAATCGGCCGTATTAATTAAAAAAAGTATTTTACCCAAATGTTCAAAAAATCCGTACTGTAAAAGGAAAGTACGTTTTATGCACATTTTTAGGTTTTTAATCTTTTTAACTTTTTAACAACCCGTACCCTCTTTTATATCCAGCAA